TCTGTCTGGCACCATACCTGAGTGTCTGAATTACAAACTGAATACTTTCTTGACCTTCGTTTGTATGTTAATGTAGGAAAGAAGTTATGAAAAATTTAAGTGATGTGATAAAGTTGATAACATTTGAAACTCTTCATGGCCCCAAGATCTTATTACTGATCAATTTGTTCTCATTCCCAGAGAAAAGCGACCTGGTGTGAACAAACAACAGCGTGGTCTGCACTTTGGGAAATGAGGTTGAATGATCGCTTCAGGTGGCCTTGGGAGATGAGACCTTTGCCAGTGTGAAGCAGTATTCAAAGACTATTAAATGGCGGTGTGACCACCTTCTGTCCAGCTGTGGGGAACCTGAGCTAGGCATGTGCAGCCTTTAGATAAAGACTGCAGTGAGCTATAAATCCATTCTTTTTTTTTCACCATATCTCAGTGGCGAACAGACCCGTCTTCTTGTTTGCGTATATGTTCTTCATATTTCTCGAAGATTGAAGTAATATCTTTGTTTATTTGATATTATCTCAAACATTTGTGGACGGCGTGGTCTTGAGGGTCTGAAGTGAATGCCTGTTTCAATGATGTTCTTCTTTCTGTATACCAATAATTCATTTAGGTGTGTTATTTCATCATTTATTTATGTTTCGAATGAAGACCATGAACTTTAGGTGAACTTCGTAGTGACAAGTGTGCATAAATGAAGCCTGAACGACGATATTTCTGTTTGGCATGGCATTATATCAATATTTGTTTGTGTAATGGAAAAATTGATGTGTTCTTCTATTGATCGTGTTGGTTCTAATGTGACCACTGCCCGAGCTATGTTTTGCTGCATCTTGGTTATTTATTGCCGTCATTGTTGTGGTATTGGACTTTGTTGTATTGATGTTTGAGCTATGTGGCCTTTATCATTGTTTCTTTTTATCTGTTGTTTAATTTTTATGTTGATGTCTTTGATTTTTTTCTTCGATGTCTTTAATCTTTTGTTGTCTAATCTTCTAATATAAACTTGCTTGTTAATATTCTTGCCAGTGTGGTCTGGCGCGTCATCTCTGAATTTTCTAGACTTGTGTGAAAGTTGACGTTCGATTGGCATTTGAACGTGTTAATGACCTGTTGTTATATGAAAATCTATTTCAATTTGAAGACCTTTACTTTATGCGCAATTCAGCGCTCTGAGCCTGTGGCAGTTCTTATTGTTTGAGCGATGGAAGCTGAAATCATCAGCCTTTCGCTTCACGCTTCGACTGGCGGCGGACGGCGTGTGTAGCGTCGTTGTGCTGCGGTTTGAAAAACGTAGCGGCGATGAAGCGCAATGTTTTGTTTTTTGCGAATACTCATGTTGCCCCGACCTGATTGTGTGTGATCTTCGTTCTGTAACATCATGTGCGAGTTTAAACAATATTCATCGTTCAATCGGCACATGCCTCCATGTTTGATTCTGATGTGGACTGCCATGCTCTGCGCCTTCCCAACAATTGCGCTATCTTTGAAGATGATTGCCGTCATTTGTGTGATTCGTTTTTCGATGCGCATCGTATCACCAAGTAATTGTGAATTTGTGGTGTGACCTTTGTTTTTAATGATTACTTACATGCACCTTTGTGTGGTTTTACACCTTTATTATTGTTTCAGTGTTTCTAATTTATTCAGTGATCTCTTATGGCCTCTTTCAGCGAGTGTTTGTGGGATTGATGACCCGTTTTCTTTGTATTATCGATTGTTTGATTAATAATTTATAATAATGTTTCATGAAAATGATTTGTTATGATGCTCATAATGATATTTGTGATCATCTCTTTCTTTGAACTCGGACTCTGATTTGATGGTCAGAGCAGGTGTCTGGCGGGTGCTTCTTGTTGGAAGATAGACTGACTCGTCTTCAGTGTATTGAACCGCGCCACTGAAACTTTGGACGTTGCCTTCAGTCCCGATGGACCAATATGCGTTCGACCGGCAATATATGGTCGCGACTGGACTGCTGCCGTTTAATGTTTAATCTATGTTCCACAATTGGTTTGATATTATGTTTTTAAAGTTCTGATGGTGAGCCTAATTGATTTTTGTGGTATTCAATTCGTGGTCAGTGTCTTATTATTTGCTGTGATGTGTTGGCATGAAGTTGAACTTGTAAACCTGTTTCTTTGGACAATGAAATGGATGACCTTCAGCGTCTGATTTAGTGGTTTGTCAGCGATGGCGATGTTTGATTTTGGTTGTGTGACGGACTGTTTTTGTTCTCGTTAGTTTCGTTTTTGTTTTTGTTTTTACCTGTGTGGAGTGTGTCTATTCTCTAATGTTTATGATGTGATGTTGACTTTCATTCTTGTAATATCTATCAGTTCAGGCGCGATTCATCTGTCATTTCTATTTTGCCGGACTGATTGCTGCTGTTGCCTTTGTCTTTGATTTTCCTTGTTTTTTTGTTTGAGCAGTTTCTAATCTATTATTGGATCTGAATCTCAGGTCTTGATCTTACACATGATCGCTTGGATTTTATAGTATTCTCAGCTGGCAACTTGTTTCTATTTATTTAATAGCTGGCGTTGTTTTCTTGTTAATTCTCTCAATTGTTTGAAAAGCGTTCTGAAAGACAGCGCCTAATGGGTTAAGTCACGTGTGCTGTCTTTATAACAAGTAGCGAAATCAAGACTAATTGATGGGCCTTCGTCGGCTGGTGCGTGGCTGGCGGATGTGTTTGAACTGGACTTGCTGGAGCTGTTTGTTGTGCATCTTGCTAACACGAACTCTGCTATCATGAGAAGGTACATTGTGGTGGAAATAATCTCTTATTTGGAAATAGACGATGACTATCTTGATGTTGGGTTCAGACCTGTTATTGCAGCGTGAAGACCACCATCTTTCTGTGTGATAATTGTGTTGAGGTGATTAATTTGTGCTTTGTGATTTATTTCTGAGCAGTGTTTTGGAGGAATCTTTAGTTATCTGAATGTGTTCAGTGGGCGGATGTGTTTTTGCGCCAACTGACGACGACGCGATATCATCGCAATGGCGCAATTTTCTTTGACCTGACCGCCACGTTCTTATTCAGCTATCGATGTCGTTGTAAACGGTCAGTTCTTATTTTATCGATTAACGATCTCGGTTGAACTGGCTGAACGTTTTCGTCTTAATACGTGATGAAGCTGAGGATGGGATGTTTGTCGCATTCAGGGTCGTGGCTTTATCATTGCGTTTGTGTCTCATTATCGTTATCTGGTTTGTTGTTACATGAACCTGTGACGTTCGTTTCTGCGTAATCAACGTGTTGCTGATTCAACAATATTCTACTCTTATAATTGGTTCAAACTTGTTTGGCGAAGCTGAATCATTTCTTTCAACTGATTTTGTTTTGTTCAGGCCTCTGTGGCGACGTTCAATACGCGATCATTTGTCTTTCAAGCGGTTTGGGAGCGATATTCTTCAATGCAATCGTTTGTTCTATTACCAGTGGAATGGACCGCTCCGTTCATTTTATTTACAGACGGATTAATGCGTGATTCAGGTTCTGTGTTCTGATGGCTGAGGTCATTTCATGTTTGGGGTGTTGTGAAGGAGAAGATTAATAGGCTTTCTGACGGTGTTATTTGTGCCTTCTGTAAAGCTGTTGTGTGTCTCTAGGAGTGTGTGGTGGGAGAAGCAGAGAGTGGTGAAGCTGTCTCTTTGAAAGCTGTGCGATGACCTTTGCATCAGACATGAGACTCTCAGTTTCTATCATGGCTCTTGGCTCTTATTAAAATCCCACCAGGTCCAGGACTCAATCATATCAATTGTCTCCTGTGGAAGCTGACCCTAATGGTGCTTTGAGACATTTGTGGCTCAACCGATGACAGCCTCCATCTATATTGTGCACTTCCATTCCTGCAGATGATTTTCTTACTAGTCAAGTTTAGGAGTGAACTGGTAGGATACGGATTGGTGAGCGTTTTTAAATCTTGGCGGCTGTTGGTCTGTTCTGTTTTTATGCATGAATGTTCCATTACATCAATTATTAGTCATGGGACTCTTATCGTTTAATATTTATTTCACTTTCAAGAAGTAGCGTTCTTGTTAATCGTATAAGTACCTTGTGTGTATGACTATCAGCGTTGCCGGAGGCTGTGCCAAGTGAGTCTGTGCACTGCCAGGCCTGCATCACATGATAATGAGTGTCTCTGGATATCGGGTTCTGCTGGCTGTGGTGGGATGTGCTGGGCCTCAGGTCAGAAGAATGAATCAGAACCCAGGCCTCTCAGTCCTAAAAAAAAAAAAAAAAAAAAAAAAAAAAAAAAAGTTATCCCGGCATAGTGGTGCACGCCTGTAGTCCCAGCTACTTGAGAGGCTGCGACAGGAGAATCATTTGAACCCGGGAGATGTCACTGCACTCCAGCCTGGGTGACAGTAAGACTCTGTCTCAAAAAAAAAAATAAATAAATAAATAAATAAAAGGAAAAAAAATAAAAATGCATTTAACACACCTAACCTACCAAACATCACAGGTTAGCCTGGCCTTCGTTAAACGTGCTCAGAACACTCACATTAGCCTACAGTTGGGCAAACTCATCTAACACAGAGCCTACTTTATAACAGTGTTGAATATTTCACGTAATTTATTGAACACTGTACTGAAAGTGAAAAGCAGAATGGCTTGCAGTACAGTCTCTACCAAATGCGTATCGCTTTTGCACCATTGTAAAGTTGAAAAATCCTAAGTCCAGTTATTGTAAGTTGGGGACTATCTGTAAACTGTAATAAAAGTAATGTGAATGTGGTCTCTCTCTCTCTCTCAAAATATCTTATTGTATGTAATATTTGCAGACTGAGGTTGACCATGGGTAACTGAAACTGCAGAAAGCAAAACCACAGATAAAAGTAGACTGCTATACTCCAAGAGATGCATACGTGGCTGTTCACTGTGGGATTATTTGTAGTAGTAAAATAAACACAAACCCTACCAAACAAACAAAGGCCAGATAACCACTGTAGAGGTGGGTGGCCCACTGGCCAGTCCCCAGCATCTTCCCACTCACCCACTCAAATCAAAGGCTCGGATGAGGATGTGCTGCAACACGTCGAGCGAGGTGATCTGGGGATCTACAGCAAAAGAGCGGAACTCTGGCGGTAAGAAGCTCTCACATTTCTGGGGAGAGAAGACATGGGGTAGGCCACCAGGGGCCTCATCACCATGCTGAAGAGTGAGGTGCAGAGTGGTAGAAGGCAAAGTCAGAGAGGTGCCAGGGGCCAGATCAAGGCAGGTGTTCTGGACCATAGGGTCCAGTGAGGAGGAGGCTACTGCAAGGGTTCAGGCCCCCAATCCTTCTTCTATATCCCTTCAACTGTGGTTGCCAGAATCACCATATCCAGTCTGGCTCCTGTTAAATCAGTCCTCTATGATGCTGTAACCAATCTAGCACATCTACCTACAACACTCCTGCTTAAATCTCTTCAATGGCAACCCTAGAGTCCCAGCAAGTGGGCCTATGGGGCCCCAGCCAGCCTCTCACCAGGTTTTTTGAACTTTATACTCTGGTAGTACCAAACTGTTAGAAGTTACCTTGAAACCATCCTGACTCCAGGCCATTGATTGTGCTGATCCCCTGTCTGGAACATCCCTCCCACTTTCTTCACGTGGTTCACTCCCAGCTCAGGCATCTTTTTTTCTGAATGTCAAACTTCTACCTTAGAGCTTTATTACACTGAAGTGATGTGTGGACCCTCTTATCACTGCCAGTGTCACTGGTTGGTTGGAGCCACCATCATTGTTTACGGAACTATGGCAACAGCATTCTTCCTCAGCATATACACCAAAGGCCCTTGGCGATCTGCCTCTGTCTTAGCACTCTGATTCACCTCCTACCACTCTTCCCCTCATTCTCTCCACTCCAGCAATCAGGAACCTACGGGAACATGCCAGGCTCATTCCCATCCTCTAGCCTTTGCCCTTGCTATTCTTTCTGCCTAGAATACTCTTCCCTTCTAATATGCATATGGCTAACTCCTTTTATTCGGGTCTCTGCTCCTTCAGTACCTCCTCTGGGGATTTCCCTGTACAACCTTGGCTAAAGTGACTCCCTGTTGCATAACTTTTTTCATTATTTGAGTGTCCGAAGCATCTCATTTCTTTAGTTGTCTCCACCCACGAGCCTGTCAGTTCATCAAAGTGGGAAATTGCACATAAGTGCACTCTCGACACATACGGGTTGACTGACTCCAGAGCCAGCACCTTCTCATTCCTCAGAGCCCCACCCTCAACTACTGCGGCCCCTCCTCCAGCCCATAGCCCCTCCCCTTTGTCTATAAGCTCCACCCATTTATCCCATAGACCCCAGTCTCTCCATTTTCAGTCCCACGCCCCAAGGTACGTCGCTAACGCTCCCAAGCTCTCAAGCCCTCCCTCCCCTTCGCCACCATCACTTGGCCCTCAAGCTTCGCCGCTCAGGTTTTGTCCCAAATCTCAGGTTCCGCCCTCCATCCTACGACAGCCACCGCCTCCCCCTCCCCTGGGATGCCTCGGCGCCTGGGCCGACTCACCCGCCAGCCTCACCTTGACTCGGACCCGCACCACCTCTCGCTCCTCCTCCTCAGCAGCCGCCGCCGCCTGAGCTCCCACGCCGGGCGGGGGCGCTCCGGAGCCAGACAAATCCGAAGCCCCGGAGGCTGTCGCCATCCCGCCGCCGCCCGTCTCAGGGTGACGGTTGACCGTTGCCCCCCAACCCGGCGCACACTCTACTGTACTGACGCCCGCCGCCCCACCTCGTGCCGGGGCGCAGGCGCAGAGGGCTCTGCGCGACCCTACCCCCCCACCGTCCCTCCCACCTGGCCCTGCCTGGAGGTCGCCTCTGCGCCTGCGCCTAGATGCTGTTGCCAGGAGCCCCGCCCCCAAAAGTCGGGCATTTTGCTTTATTTCAGCTAGCGTGCGGACGCCTACTGAGGCCCCGCCTCCCCCAGCCCCGTGGTTTGGTTGTTTTGACAGCCTACTTCCGGATTCATAGAGGTGTTATACTGACACCTCGTTCGCCAAGAGAAGTGGGCGGGGAAAGGAAGGGGCTGCGTGATGACGTCAGGCCCCATACCCCGCCTCAAGTTGCCTCACGCCTCTGCTGACAGATGATGTCATCTATTTCAAATTGGCCCTCGCTTCAAATGAATCCACTGAATGGGAAAGAAATCCTTTTTTTTTTAAGGCAGGGTCTTGCTCTGTCACCTAGGCTGTAGTGCAATGGCGCGATCACAGCTCACTGTAGCCTCAAAGTGAGCTATGATCAAGCTATCCTCCTGCCTTAGCCTCCCGAGACTTGGGACTACAGGAGCGCGCTACCACGCACAGCCAATTTTTGTGTATCTTGTAGAGAGAGGGTTTAGTCGTGTTGCCCAGGCTAGTCTCGAACTCCTGACCTCAGGTGATCCGCCCATCTTGACCTCCCAAAGTGTTGGGATTACAGGTGTGAGCCACAGCCCCTGGTTAAAGTGTTTTAAAAAATATACTCAGCAGGGTGCAGTGGCTCACGTCTCAGCACTTTGGGAGGCCGAGGCGGGCAGATCTCTTGAGCCCAGGAGTTCTAAACAGCGAGACCCTGTCTCTTAACAAAAAATTAAACAATTAGCTGGACGTGGTGGCGCACACCTGCAGTCCCAGCTACTCGGGAGGCTGAAGCAGCAGGATAGCTGAGCCCAGGAAGTCAAGGCTGCAGTGAGCCCTTCTCACACCACTGCCCTAACCTGCACCACAGGGCAAAGCCCTGTCTCAAACAAAAATTAATAATTTACACCCTGACTTAGTAAGGTCAGATAAAAAACAGGAAAATGGTTTACGCATTGTGAAAATTCATAGAGATTTTGTACACTGATGATTTTTGTACTTCCTGTATGAATGTTACACTTCATTAAATAATTTACCCCCCAAAAAAACCTTTATGCTCTTTGGAGTTCTAGCTTTTGGTTTGCCTTTGTCTGAAACTTGACGAGATCATATTTTCCCAAGTTTATACAACTAGGAGGCAAACTTCCAGGTAATTCAACTCCAGGAAGGACACTAATGCTTCTAACTGAAACCCAGGAAGAAGTTAACAATCAAGACTTCAGAAGGCAGAAAGCGAGACAGACCCAGGGAGCTCAGAAGCATATCTCTAAAGCTCTGCCATTATTGAACCAGTTCAAAGGATCCCTGGTCTTTATGTCCCTTTTCCAAGCTTCACATTCTCAGATCTTGAAGAATCACTGAATCATTGGAAGAGCCCTCTGTCCAGCTTGGTCTAGAGATTTATTTGAAACCTGACTAAAATGTTGATACTGACTGCCAGGGACCCATTGAAAGAGAAGTGGCCAGGCTCAACTACAAACCAACCAATGGAGCCCAAATGATACCATCTGTAAAAGATCAGCTTTCTGGGGTCCCAGAGCAGGGTGGATAATGGATCTGGAAGAGCAAATGGGGAATGCCCAGCAGAGCATGCAAAAGGCTTAGCAATGTGCTGAGCACATAGTTAGTGCTCAAAACAATGAATGCAAGAAGCCAATAATAAATGAAGAAAAATTTTTAAAAATAAACTGAGTCAGGCACAGTGGCTCACACTTGTAATCCCAGCATTTTGGGAGGCTGAGGTGGGAGGATTGCTCGAGCCGGGGAGTTCGAGACCAGACTGGGCAACACAGGAAGACCCTGCCCCTACGAAATTAAAAAAAAAAAAAAATTAGCTGGGTGTGGGTGCGTACCTGTGCTCCTAGCTGTTCGGGAGGCTGAGGTGAGAGGATTGCTTGAGCCTGGGAGGTCCAAGCTGCAATGGAGCTGTGATCACACCACTACACTCCAGCCTGGGTGACAGAGTGAGACCCTGATTCAAAAAAAAAAAAAAAAAAAAAAGCCCACAACATGTTAGGGTTGGTCCTGCTCTTAAACAGTGTATGTCTACTAGATATTGGCTGAATTATTAAATCTATCTTAGACTTTTCTGAGAAACTTTATGTATGGCAAAATGCAAAAAGGCAGTCTTCCCACTTAATGGCACAACATCCGTGCGGTCTGGACAAAATACAGGCTGCACTTACAAATGTTAATTTCCAACAAAGGAGTCTTGTAAGATACTAGCACTCCAACTATTGTGTCCGTGTCATATGGATGCAACCCTCAAGGTTAACTTTTTAGGCAAGTGTACAATTCTATTTTGGTGTTTTTTAAGATAACATGTTGCCTTGGTATTAATATTAGATAGATATCTCTACTTTTAGAAGGTATAAATAATGGGGATTTTCTCTGACAGCCAGAAAAGGATTATTGGCATGTCTCTCTTGCCCCATTTGCTTAGAGTCAAAATCACCTATAGCACTGCTGGATTTTCTGATAGAGACAAGGAGTAAGAGTCTGCTTTTCATTTATCATAGGGTGGGATGTGCAAACCATTAGCCTGGAGTTTGGAATCGATCCTGAGGGCACTGGGGCAAAGGTTTAGACAGGGGTATGATGTGGTCAGATGCCTCTGTCTTGGTCCTGGGGAGAGCCTTGGATGGAAAGATACTGGAAGCAAGAATATCAAAAAGGAGGTCCTTCCCATAGTTCTGGGGAGAACTTTCTTTTTTGTTTATTCATTCTTCCATTCAACAAATACAAAGTATATGCTAGGCAGTCTACATAAATTAATTCTTATAATCTGCATAAAAACCCTATGAGGTAGTATCTTAGTCCATTTTTCTATTGCTATAACCAAATACCCAAGACTGGGTAATTTATAAAGAAATTTGGGAGGCTGAGGTGGGAGGATTGCTTTGAGGCCTGTTCAAGACCAGCCTCGGCAACATAGCAAGACCCTGTCTCTACAAAAAATTTTAAAAATTAGCTGAGCGTGGCAGTATGCCTGTAGTCCTAGCTACTTAGGAGGCTGAGGCAGGAGGATTGCTTATGCCCAGAAGTTTGAGGCTGCAGTGAGCTGTGATCACACCACTACACTCCAGTCTGGGTGACAGAGTGAGACCCTGTCTCTAAAAACAACAACAACAACAAAAAAAAAAAAAAAGAAAGAAAGAAAGAAAGAAAAGAAATGAATTTCTTACAGTTCTGGAGGCTGGGAAGTCCATGGTCAAGGGGTCACATCTGGTGAGGCCCTTCTGCTGGTGGGGCCTCTCTGTGGAGTGGCGAGGCAGAGCAGGGCATCACATGGTGAGGGGGCTGACCTTGCTAGCTCAGATCTGTTTCTCCTCTTAGAAAACCACTAATGCCCCACCCTTATGACCTCATCTAATCTAATCCTAATTACCTCTCAAGGTCCCATCTCTCAAATACCGTAGTCGGATTTCCCACCTCCTTAATACTGTTAAAATAGAGATTTAGTTTCAACATGAGTTTTGGAGGGCAGAAACGTTCGAACCATAGCAGGTAGGTGTTATTATTCTAAGCATTCTACAGATTAGAGTACTGAAAGCCAGGAAGAAACAAGCTCAAGGTCAAAGTGGGTAGTGACACAGAGAGTAGGCAGTGCAATGGACGGAACTTGGGGCTATGCCTGTTGTGTCTGAGGAAGAGCAAGGAGGTCAGTATGCCTTTAAGTAGAGTGAATGATAGGTGAGTGACAGCAGACGAGGTGAGAATGGAGTGAGACCATGCAGGGCTTTGACCTTAACGGTAAGGCATTTCTCCAGAGCTATATACTGTAGGCCTAAGCAGAGCCAGGATTTGAACTGAAGTCCACAGGTCCTCTTTTTTTGAGACAGAGTTTTGTTCTTGTTGCCCAGGCTTGAGTGCAATGGTGTAATCTCGGCTCACTGCAACCTCTGCCTCCTGGGTTCAAGTGATTCTCCTGCTTCAGCCTCCCAAGTAGCTGGGATTACAGGTGCCTGGCACCACGCCTGGCTAATTTTTTGTATTTTTAGTGCAGATGGGGTTTCACCATGTTGGCCGGGCTTGTCTTGAACTCCTGACCTCAGGTGATCTGCTCGCCTCAGCCTCCCAAAGTGTTGGGATTACAGGCGTGAGCCACTGCCGTCCAGCCTTACGCAGGTCACCTGAAGCCAGTCTATAGGTATCTGTGGTTTTATTATTTATTATTTTCCATCTCTTCAAAACTTCTCAAGTACCCAACTGTTTTATGATGGAGGGTCTATAAGGTAAAGATAGACTGCAGGATGAGTGATGGCGGTCTGTAGAGTAAGTGAGGGGTGTCTGTTGGGTGAATGATAGGAGGTCTGCGGGGAGAGTCACGGAGGATCTCTGGGGTGGATGGGAGTCTGGGTGCATGATAAGTGGACTATGAGGTAAGTCATGGGGGTCTGAGGGGTGAATGATGGCATCTGTGGGTGAGTGATGGGATGTATATGGTGGATGGTGGAGGATCACGAGTTAAGAGATGGGATGGTGGTGTGAGTGATAAGGGGTCTGTGGGATGAGAGATGGACTCTGTGGGTCGAGTGATGGGTTCTGCAAGGTGAGTTATGGGATGCTTATAGGGTTAGCAAAAGGGCATCTGTAGGATGAGTGGTGGGTCTGTGGGGTCAGTGATAGGGGTTGGTGGGGTGACTGACGAGGGGCTTCTGGGGTGAGTTGTGGGATCTTCAGAATGAAGATTTTGGGGGTGATAGGGGCCTGTGGGGGTGAGTGATGGGGTCGAGGTCTGTGTGGTGAGTTATGGGGTTTCTGTGGGGTTAATAATGGGCAATCTATGAAACGAATGTGTGTTGGTAGGAAGAGTGATGGGTATCTTAGGAGTTGATGGGGTATGTGGGAGGAGTGATGGGGGGGGTCTGTGGAATTAGTGATGGGATGTCTGTGGGGTGGTTTAGCAGAAGCCAAGAGGCTGAGTGATGGAATGTATGCAGTAGGAGTGTTGGGGTCTTTGCGAGGTGAGAGCTGTGGCATCTGTGGGGTGAGTGATAGGGAGTGTTATGAACTGAATGATGTCCTCCTACCCAAATTAGGTTTGAAATTAGGGTTGAAGCC